GCAGAGGACTGGGACTACATTAGGACGACATCCTAGTCCCAGTCCTCTGCATAGCCCTGACGTCCTAGCTGACGTCGACGTCGTAGATCTTAAGCTATATATTAGGTCACGTCAGCTAGTTTCCTGTCCATTTATTTTATTATCCATGGTGGAACTATCACCACTTACGATTTCGGCAAGTTAAACATGAAAATTGGTTGCCCGGAATAAAATTCACTTGTCATCAGTGTTGCAATCACGTATTAACAAAATTTGAAGCAAATGATTGGATAGATAGTTTACAGTCAAACCGGATGTTCTCTTGCGAGCAACATTGCAATATTGTCCCACAATATTGCAATTTTGATAGGCAAATTGCTCTAATTTGCAACTGACACGAACAAATTGCTCAGAGCAATCTGGCTATCAAAATTGCAATATTGTGGGACAATATTGCAATGTTGCTTGCAAGAGAACATCCGGTTTGACTGTAATATGATTTTACATAGCAACCAATTAACATTCACTAAATTTTGAAATTTAAAAATGTTTTTGATACGTTTCGGTACGCTACGCTTGTGGTAGAAATGGTGGTGGTGGAGGTGGGAACTTTTTACAGTACATATTTATTGATATGTGTGTTTGTGTATATACGTATGTTTTGTGTGTGTGAGATGTACATATTATTTTTGTAAATTTTACGCAATTCAGCCTTTAGGCTAATACTTCCATAGTACGCCAAAAAGTTGACTTGTGACGAACTTTTCATTTTGATACGCGAATACACCCGAAAGTACGTGGATTTATCAACCTCTTTTCAATTTACACATGCTCACCAGTACGTTTATTTGCCATTGTATTTGTAGGGAGTTGGATATGGTAACACCTACTGTAATACTTTGGCATTGCTCACTAGCTCGACTTCTTTGCAGTTCACGGTGATGGTATCGAACTGATGCTTCACTTTCTTGAAATCAATGACCATTTCCTTGTACTTGTCAGCATTCAGCTGGAGCTTGTTGATGTTAGTCCATTTTTCAACTTCGGTTACGGCGTTTGACCATTCGTTTGACCATTCCGTGGGACAACCTCAGTCAAAGTGGTGTCATCCACATATTTCCAAGAGTGCGCATCAGGTGGGTTGAGGTAGTCTTGTACCCTGGGGAACACCAGATGGAACTGTACCCAATTCCGAGAAACAATCGTTAGACAAATTCAAACACAAAATTACTAAAATGCAGCTTAGAAAAAGTTCCGTCATACAAGAATTGAAGAATCGTTGGACAGTTTGACACGTAGCTCAGTTGGCAGAGCATTGGGCTAGTATTCCAAAGGTCGTAGGTTCGAATCCCATCGTGGCCGGGCATATTTTTCAAGCTCGCCCGGTGTGGATATACACTCAGAGTAACACCACAAATATCATATTCACCTGAGTACACTACACCAACACAGAAAAAAACGTTGGAACCTGTTCAACAAAAAGTCACACACACAGCGAGCTACACCACGCGGCATTCGAAGAGAAAAGGATCTTGTCAACTATGGTCGATCAGATCAAAAGCTTTTCTGTAATCTAGTAACACGATCCTCGCTGCTGTACCTGTTCCATCAGTGGCAGAAGTCCACGTGTGCATCATGGAAATAAGAGCTTGGGTAGTACTGTTGATAATTTTCAGGATGATTTCGGTACGGCACCAAATGGACCTATTCCCTAATGAACAAAATTTTGATCCAGACGACAAGTTTCATCACAGCTTGAAAGAGCGTCACCGCTTTCCCGTGCGTAATTCAAAATAACTGAAAAACGGCAAACTTCGTAGGGCTATATTATCCCCATTTTACAACATTTCGCAACGAAACTTTGGAATATTACTAATTTGGTGATGCTCTTTCATGCTGTGATGAAATTTTCGTCTAGACTTGTCTAGATCAAAATTTTGTTCATTAGGGAATAGGTCCATTGGTTGGGATCGATGATCTCAAGAACGGCAGGGCCAACATAATTTCTTACGATAAAGTCCTCAGCTAACTTAGTGCCGGGGTTAGTGAGATGGGTCCAATGTGCTTGGCGATTATGGTAAACTGGTCTCGTTTTTGACAGTGGTGTGACATTTACATATTTCCAGGTTGCGGGAAGCGCTTTTTCGTCGAAAAAGCTGTTCAGCATATCACAAACGGGGTTTGCAAAGAAGTCTGCATATTCTTTAAGGAGCCAGTTTGGCACCCCGTCCGGACCAGACGCTTTGTGAGGGTTGAACGTTAGTAATGCTGAGTACACGAAATAGTACCTCAGAATAAAGCTTAAGTACCTCAGAATTTTCATCTATGGGAGGAAGACAGTCAAGTGGTTTGTATGTTTGCATAGGTTCGAGAAGTGCGGTGTTGATCAGGTCTGTGATATCCTTATTCGACATTCCATCGATGATGCCATTGATGTGAAGTTGTGAGCAAATATCTCCGGTCAGTGCAGCAGGGGCCATTCCTGAAATCTTTTTTACCTCGTTTCACCACTGGCTCGGTTTCGTATTCTTGAGGTTCGCAAAGAGAATTCGGCAAGAGGTGCACTTTTCAGTTATAACGGTGCCTTGTATTGGAATAATCTTCCCATGAGGCAAAAACTGCTGAATCTTTAAGCTCTTTCATATCGATATAAAAACAAAGAATGAGTTGAAATTGGCTTGTGTATGATCGTGTATTAAAAATCACCGTATTTTCTTGTTCCTGCAATTTAGTCTCATACTCTCATTTTATCTTTTTTCATATTTCTTCATTTCTTGTGAATAGTTAATTTGATATTTCACGCCCCTCATGGAAATCAGCCCCAACGGTTGTTCAGGCTAGCGTGGTTAAATAAAGTTTGTCAGGGATTTTTTAGGGCCGTAAAACGGCCCCAAAAACTCAATCTTCAATTGAGTTTTGAAACTCAATCTTCTCACCAAAGTTTCATTGCAGTAAAATGAAGTTGTTGGAGTCAAATTTCGTGACGTGTGTTAATTAGTTTTCAGTTGGAAACCCAACAATTAAGAAATAATGGCTGGAATTCATCACACAACACAAGAAAAACTATGCATTCGCCATCTTTAACCAGTTTATAGTGTCCCTTAGTGCCCCTGCTTTAACACATTCCGTCTCAACTACATTTATTAGTACAGGTGTCAGCCCCTCCGGTAGGGGGGGGGGGGGGGGTGCAGCCACCCCAGCTGTACAGCTAAACTCAATCTTCTCTGCAAAAACGGACCCAAGAGAAAATCCTGAAAAAAAACCTGTTTGTGTGTATGTAAGTATATGTATGTATGTGTAATATCTACTATGAAGCATATTCGTTCATGGTTTACCACGTTTCGGAGTCGTCAGAAACGATCTCGATCACCAAGCTTTCTGCATGGCGTAGTTTAATAAGACAAGTGACAAGGAAGCTACAAAATGAGTGACAAGTTACACCCTTGGTGGGCCTCACAACCCTTGTAATTCAAATATTTTTGCCTCTGCAAATAATTGCAGAAGTCTTTCAATAATTTTCGAGTTTGTCTCTATATCGACTGAAGCTGTGATGCTGAAAACTCAAATTATTTAAATATTTTGCAAAGTATGAATGAAATCTTCAGTTGTTCACCCAACATTTATGACAACAATTCAAACAAAGAAGTGAATGATACACATTTGAATGTCCAGTTATTGAAGTGGTTTAGATGCAAAAAATGAACAGACGCTGTAGTTTGTAAATTTAAGCAAAAAAAAACGAACAGACGCTGTATAGTTTGTAATCAAGGTATAATGAGTGAAATTGCCTCTGCATTTTTTTCCCGAGGCAAACTATGAAAATTGTAACTTGCCTCAGCGATTCTCATTGCTGAAGCAAATTTTGAGGGTTGCCTCATGATAATAGGTCACTAATCAAGTCAGTGTACATTTCATATCTTACCAGATGTTCATCATGATATAAGCCCAAATGCCTCAGCTTGAATAATAATGACTGAAACTGTTTGATTGGAGGATAGTAACTTGTAACCTGGTCAGCACGTGGACAGCTTCTAAAATAATCAACCACTTTCTGTCCCCTAGATGAAAATGGAATTAACAGATTGAGTGGTAGCACTCTCCCCCCTGACAAGTAAAGTCATCTGATGTTAGACAGAGCAAAATAAGCTGGCGTTAGACAGAGTAAAACAATAATTAAATTAAAGTAAGGCACATCCCAGTGTGGAAAGTTTGTACTGCGTGCCCAATATCTCGGGTGAGCAAAATTTGAAGCTTTCTATATATTTACTATTAAATTTTCAAAATCTCTGCCATGCAATTTCCAAGCTTTCCAGTCAGGGCACATCAGGGCTAGGCCTCGAATTTCCCTGAAATCAATTGACGGGTTAAAAATCGCTGTAGAACATAACAGAGGGCCCCCTATACTTTTTGTGTGAAGCGTGAAGGGCTTATTTTACTTAGCCGTGAAACGTGATCAGGCCCCCTATACTTTTTGCGTGAAGCGCCTATTTTAGTTAGCCGTGAAATGTGATCGATGATTATCTTAATCCGTGACTCGTGAAAAGGCAAAATATTTTTACGTGAACGCATATTGTGAAGAGGTATAGGGGGCCCTCATAACAGCTCTGTCTATGGCAATTTTGGCAGTTTCCACAGCATTTTTTCAAATTACTGCAACAAATATTTAATTTTATTGTTATATAGTAATTTAGTGAATAGTATAAAAAATATACTATACGGCAACAAATTGCTGTTGTTGCCATGCACAATGATGCGACATTTTGTTCTCCCTCTACGGCAATTGCCACAATAAAGGGTCCACACTGGAAAGTAGGCCACTTTAGCCCAAGATCTCCTGCGGCAGGCTAGCTGTTTTGTAATACTAATTACTAATAAATTTCTGCTATAATTGCGGCAGTTCTCCTGTGGCAGCCTGTTGGTGCTTTCCGCCCAGGTAAAGGGTTAACCAATCTATGAACGATCTGTGCCAGCGTAGGTATTGACAATAACCAATCTGTGACCTGTTATTTTAGAACTATTTCTCCACATGTGTTACATATATATTATACAAACACTACAGCTTAGGTCATCAACCGGGGGGGGGGGGGTATAAAATCAATAACCTATTGATATTAACTATATAAATAACTAAATAAATATATAAATACGCAGATAAACAACTAGAGAATAATGCATACCGCACAGTTGTTGGTCTCACAAGTTCTCCAAATATTCTTGCACGAAGAACGGCCATTTTTCGGGCATAATTTGTGCTCATTTTGAACAAAACGTTTCCACAAACTTTGTGAATATTCCAAACTATTACGTGTTTCCACTATAAAGCTCAGTGATTTCCACAACAAAATTTCAAAACTCTTCACAACTTCACAACCCATAAATTTCCTGCAAAAATGTTTTTGAATTTTTTTTGCCCATAATTCTAATTTTTTTCTTATTTATTTAAATGAATTCATTTTACGAAGTAAATAATCACACTGTTTCCACAAAAAATAAATCAATCCCGAATCTATTTATAGCCTAATAGCCCAAACTGAACCGGTAATCAATTTTTGGTCAAATTGGTATCATGAAAACTGCGCAATAAAGCTTAATATATGAAAATTGTGTAATTAAGCTTTTAATTATTTTTAATAATTAAAAGCTTAATTAATTAATAATACTCAACTTTATTGCTCCTATATATACCACTGTATTCCTCTGTGTCCCATATCTACCTTCTGCATTCCCCCACCGGTCTTGAAGTTTAAACTTCGCGAAAATAGTCAAAATACCAAGAATATTTCAGTTTATGAAAACTCATGAATAAACCAACACTTCATGCACGTTACAATTCAAAATTTTTCCCTCCACTAAACCGAACAATCAAATGGCGTTGGGAAAACGCATTCCTAAAGTTTTTCCTATAATAAAGTGGCTCGCAACAAAACACTTCCGGAGAGTTCGGAAATAAACATTCGATCGTTTGCCGGTGAGAAATTCGTAGTAGCTCGTTGTTTTGATCCGAGAATAATCGATTTTATCACGATGTAATTTGGGGGAAATGAAAGATACAAGTGCTTACTAAACTGTCATGAAAGCTACCTAACTTTTAATTGTTTGTTGAGGGTTTTGTATTGGTTCTAAATGCTGAATTCAAGTCGTATAAAACCTTTCGTCAAAGCGAGCGTTCCAACTCATAAAATTTGCAACTATTTCGGGTATTCTTTTATTATAAAATGGAAGACAACGGTGGGATTTTAAGCGATAGTCATGAAGACGGATTACAAGCAAGGAGTAATTCGTTTAACGAGCTTCTTTATCGACTTGAGCAACAAAACAGGTAATCTTTTATAAGTATATTGAAACTATATCGCAATAATCGCATCATATTTATTATGTATGACCAGTGTAAATAAAT